AATATATTATATTATAATATAGTTGTAATTTTTAATTATATTATAACTGAAATATTAATATTTCTTAAGTATTATTATAATATGTTTTATAATATTGTAATTATATTAACCATTTTAAAAATATTATTATATTCTATATCATAGTTATATAATATGTTATTTAATAATAATTTTATTGTATTATATTAAATATAATAATAAATATACATTATATTATAATATAATCATTATTTTTAATTATTTTAATTATTATTATAATAATATTATTATATTCTATATCATAATTATATAATAATATAATATAATCGTAATTTTTAACTATTCATAACAATTCAATCTCATAATTTACTAAACGTTATTACATTGATTTTAAAACCAATATAGTTACTATAATTATAGTTTACTAAATATTCAGTTATTTTTTGTAACAATTATTTTTTCTTTCAGCACAGTTAAAAGTAATTTTTTTTAAATCTACACCATTACAAAACTAAGCCTGTGTTTTGTAAATTTAGCTTCCAAAGCTTCAGTTCTAAAGCAACTTTGAGTTCTGAATTTTTTGTGTTTTGGATATGACTTTTATGTTATTTCATCGTCATCCTCTGTAACTCTGGTCTTGAATTGGGATTTTTTTTTTGTGTGGGGAAATGAGAGAGAGATTTCCTTATGTGGACTGTGGTTACTGGGCAATTTCATTGTTAGCAATTACGTCTAGTTGTTGGAAGAACATACTATAGAAGAAACGATTTTTTTTTTTAATGTAAAACTTGTATTTCATGTTACAAGGACTTGCACCAGAAATAGAATCTGCAGCATGCATCTGAAGACTTCAAAACCTTTTTAAGAAAAAACCCATATAAAAACTAGACCAAAAAAAGGAAAGTGAGTCCCACTTCCCAGTGAGTGGGGTTTTTTTTTTTTTTTTTTTTTTTTTTTTCGGGAGAGGTAAAAAAGGGGGGCCCCCTTCCCAGGGGGGGGGGTTTTTTTTTTTTTTTTTTTTTTTTGTGCGGAAGAGGTCCTAGTTAGATTAGTTTATTGCATAAACAACTTGGAGGCACTTATATTACGTTTGTATAAAGAGAGTTAATCTAATATATGTAAAGCTCGGGCACATACAAAATTGGGCCCCTATTCACTTATTAGCCTTGGCATGTGGGCAAGAATTGTGAATGATATGATTAAAATTGATCCAAGCCTTTTTAAATCACCATGGCATGTTTAAATAATGCTCTTAAAATGGTGAAAAGTAGAAACAAAATGATATTATAATCGGGTAAATATTGCATACATCTATCTAGATGCTTGGATAAAAATGGCTTATTGGCAAAACAAATTGGGAATCATCAAGAATTATGTCTCCTCGTTAAGGAGAAACCAAAGTTTTTAAAGCTCAAACTCGTGTAACATTAGCAATTGAATTTCATACCTTGTGTACTCTACTTCCTCACGGAAGACAAACATTGTTAAAAGAAAAGGAGAAAAAACAATCGAATAATCACTTGCCCATAGACAATAGTGGATGTGATTTTTAAATTTAGATAAAATTCCACAATGAAGACAATAATGCATGTTTGGTCATCCAAAATCTTTCTGAATCACCTAGAATTAATTACCTTAAAAGGTAATCGGCTGAGCTAATTAGAGTCAAAGAGACATGTTTTCCAACTTCATTCAAACATCTAAACCATGGTCTAATTTGGGAAAACTAGCTTCCTCAGTTTAACACGAGTGGTAAACATTAAAACGACAATAGTTTTATAGGAAATCATTGTAGTACACACGAGATATACATGCGATTAAGCTTTCTAAAACCCCATAAAGAGATTCAACATTATTTAAAAGTTGTTAATATCCATCACTTCTATAAAATATTTGATGGAGTAATGCAACCCTTATATGTTACATCCAAGCCAGCCTATGCAGACATGGTCCTGCTCAGAAACTTCTTATGCTCCGTCCTTATAAACTTGTCAGCTTCTTTGTCGATGTCTTCTTCTTGAGTCTTGACACTGCCATCATTCGCAAAAGAGCTTGCCAAATCGCGGTCATATTCTCTTGCTTTCTCGTAGTCAGTCTTGAACGCGACATGGTGTTTAGCGCGTGGAGGGCTGCTAGTTATGAACTTCTGAGGCTGAGACTGCTCTCTGTAAGCATAGAATTTGTAATCTTCATTTGAGGTATTCCAACCGTGGTGATGGTGTGTGACACTTGACATTTTTTCTTTGTTTTCTTTTATTTTTTTTTGTCACTTTTCTATGATTTCTCTATGGTTTTAAGGTGTTGATGAGGAGTTTATATAGCAGTTTTGAAAATATCATAACCTTATTCTCAGCTGCTTTTTTTGACAAAGTATCTTATTCGAGAAAGATGAAATTGAATCCAATGCTCTCTTTTCTGGTGAAGTCTCACACGTGAAAGAGTCTCTCAGCAGATAAAGATGAGCACTACAAGTTTCTTTCTTTGCAGTTGGAGTTTCCATTGGGCCTAGAGGAATTTTCAAACTTTAATTATTCCCGAGCTATTTAAGGAATTTCCAAAACTAGTAAATTGTGGTCTGTATATGGACAAATAACAGAGAAATCTTCAAGGGAAAATTTGGAGTAGAATATGCTTTTAGTATTGATTGGAAGAGGCAAATTAGAATCCATCATTGCACCAACCTTTTGAAGATAGATTCTTGAGGTCAAAGTTTGAATTAACTATCTCAGCTTGACAAGAAAGTTAATCAAGTTGTCAAAATATTTTTGCATTATAGATAGATTTACTTGGACATGTGACACACAAAGTGAACTGCTCTTGGTTAAAAATGTATCGCCTCTTCATTGAAAAAACTTTTGAGTTAAATGCAACAGATAAATGATACTTTAAGCTCAAACATTCTCCACGAAAGTTAAAAGTAGTTTATTTATAGGTTTGTTGCTTTACTAAGCAGGGCATAAACTAGTACATTAGTATTTGATAAGCATAATATATTTATCTTACAACATCACATAGCAAGGCTAATTAGTAGAGCACTTGCTAGGAGACAACACCAAGCACATTTGAAAAGAAAAATAGGATGGAATTTTACATCTCAGCAGACAAATCATTCTCTCTCAAATACCTTTTGAAGTCCACTCAAATCTGCTGTAGCCATTTCGCTTCCAGTTGACTCCGTTATCGAAGCGGTTGTTATTGAGGCCATGATCGTCACCACGCCAGCAACTACTCTCATACCTCATCTCCTGCATCCTCATTGTCCTTCCAGCCAGGCCAAGCGCCTCCTTAAAGTTCTCAAACTCGGAGTTTCCCATTACATTGTTGAACACAGCGCTGTGGTGGTTCAAGAACTGCGAGGAACTACCACAGTTGAAATCGAATTCATTGGCACCAAAAGGCATCAAAGTTTTGCCTCCGTCAAAACCGTGGCTCCACCCATTTTGTGTCATGTTTTGGCTGTGCCAGCAGTCCCCGCGGACCATGGCAAAGCTTCCATCAAACAAGGCCTTGTGTCTCATCACCTCAGAGTCCAGGCAAACTGATGGCACAATTTGCATTTCCGAGATATGGTTCTGAATCTTGTGGCAGTCACTTGTGTAACGAGCTTCCTTGTGCACGGCATAGCTCTGCTGCTGAGACTCCTTGCGCAAGGCGTAGGCGCTCTGTTGTTGCTGGAAAGCTGATGGAAACCTCTTGATTAACGAAGAACGGATTACACACTCAGGTGATTATTCGAGAGAATCACCGTCTCTCCTCTCAAATTCTACACAGTCCAGAGATATCGAATCCCTAGGCCCCCTGCTTATTTATATACTCTAAGAACAAACCACAACTCTAACTAAATTCAGTTATTACATGGACACCAAACTTCCTTGACAAGACTCTCAAACAACCAAGTCTACTTATTCCCGTCCACGTCAGCTCCCCTAACTAACTAACAACTAATGTTTCGATCTCCTACTATACACTAGCAATTCCCGGTTTCTATCATCACCCTCCCCATGCGCAAGAACCTTGTCCTCAAGGTTCAAGTCAGGAAACTGGGCAGACAATAACTCCCACGACTCCCAAGTATTGTCACACTCCGGAAGATCCTTCCATTGAACTAAAACCTCCAGCGTACCATCCAACAATTTTCGAGTCTGAAGCAAGGCTGCAGGCACAACAGCCAACTCCATGTCCTCTGTCCAGGCCGCGGGAAACTGCTGCACTGGTGTAGAAGGCTGTAACACCTTCCGCAATTGAGACACATGGAAGACATCATGAATACGCGCAAAAGACGGAAGTTGCAAACGATAGGCAACCTCACCAATCCGCTCCAACACCAAGAACGGACCATAGAAGCGAGGACTTAGCTTTTCATTGCGTCGACGGGCCAACGACCGCAACCGATAAGGTTGGAGCTTCAGGAAAACCCAATCGCCAACCGCAAAGTGAACATCCCGACGCTTCTTATCGGCATACACCTTCATTCGCTGCTGGGCAGTAGACAAACGCTCCTTCAACTCCCGAATGATGTCATTGCGGTCACGTAATTGACGATTAACAGCCTCCACCGCCGAACTACCGTCCTCCCAACGGAATAAAATAGGAGCCTCACGACCCGAAAAGGTGTCATGCCAGCGGAACTGTGGAAAGTAATGTTAAACCAAAACTTAGCCCAACCTAGCCAATTAGGCCACTGACATGGTTTGGCACCACAAAAACACCTCAAGTAATCCTCCAAACTCCGGTTAACCACCTCGGTCTGTCCATCAGTTTACGGATGGTAAGCGGAGCTCATACGGAGCTTGGTACCAGCCAATCGAAACAACTCCTTCCAAAAATGACTGATGAACACGCGGTCCCTGTTCGAGAAGATAGAACGCGGAAACCCATGCAAGCGAACCACGCCCTGCACAAAAACGGCTGCAACCTCCCGAGCCGTAAAAGGATGAGAAAGCACAAAAAAATGCACATACTTGGAGAGGCAATCCACCACCACCATAATCGTATCACGCCCTAACGCCTTAGGTAAACCCCCAATAAAATCTAAAAACACATCATCCCACACTTGCTCTGGAATTGGCAAGGGTTGCAGTAAACCGGCCGGTTTTAGAGCATCATACTTCACCCTCTGGCAAGTGTCGCATTCAGCGACCAGGCGCTGAATATCACGCTTCATCCCGTCCCAAAATAGGACAACCGCCAAGCGCTTATAAGTACGGAAGAATCCGGAATGACTCCCCACAGCCGAGGAATGGAACTCACGGAAAAATTTGGTAACCAAGGGAGAATGTTGTGGTAATACCAACCTATCCTTGAAATAGAGCCGGCCACCCTTGAGCTGATAACCAGCTTTGAAGTGAGGGTCCAACAAAAGGCCTTGAACAATTGTCCTCAACTTATCATCCCTTTGCACTTCATCCTCAATAGCTTCCAACTCCCGCATGTGCATAACGGAGAACACCTACAAAAGTGGTTCCTCATGTCTTCGGGAAAGGGCATCAGCCACTCGGTTATCCCGCCCCGGCTTATAATGAATTTCAAAGTCCAAACCAATGAGTTTGCAAATCCACCGTTGCTGGGCTTCATTCATGATTTGTTGTTCGAGAAGGAACCGCAAGCTACGTTGGTCCGTTCGCACTATAAAGTGCCTTCCCAAAAGATAATGACGCCATTTCTTCGTAGCCAAAACAACCGCCATGAGCTCACGCTCATAGACAGACCTGGAACGAGCACGATCGGAAAGAGATTGATTGATAAAAGCAATAGGCCGGTTATCCTGCATCAAGACCGCTCCTAACCCTCGTCCAGACGCATCAGTCTCAATGATAAAAGTCTTGGTGAAGTCCGGTAAAGCAAGCACCGGAACAGAGACCATCCGCTGTTTTAATTCCTCAAAAGCCCCCTGTGCATCCGAAGTCCACAAAAACGCATCCTTTTTAAGGAGACGTGTTAAGGGCTCAGCTATCTTCCCATAATCCCTCACAAAATGCCGGTAATAGCCGGTGAGGCCTAAAAATCCCCGAAGATCCCGAATGGACTTGGGCACGGGCCAATCAACCATGGCTGCAATTTTCTCTGGATCGGCCTGAACCCCAGAATCCGTGATGATATGGCCCAAATATTCCACTTGTGGCTGTCCAAAAACACACTTTTTCCTGTTGGCCACCAATTGATGTTGCTTAAGCAAGTCAAAAACACATATCAAGTGCAGCAAATGTGTAGCCCAATCCTTACTATAAACAAGAATATCATCGAAAAAGACCAAAACAAATTGTCATAAATGCGAACGGAAAACTTCATTCATTAAGGAATGAAAAGTTGCCGGGGCATTTGTTAAGCCAAAAGGCATAACCAAGAATTCGTAATGGCCGGCGTGAGTACGGAACGCTGTTTTCGGTGTATCCTCCTCGCGTACTCGAATTTGATGGTAACCGGATTTCAAATCCAATTTGGAAAAGAAAACTGCCCCTCCGAGTTCGTCCAGTAACTCGTCTATGGCAGGAATCGGAAATCTATCCGGAATTGTAATCTTGTTTAATGCGCGATAATCCATGCAAAAACGCCATTCGCCCGTTTTTTTCTTAACCAACAATACCGGACTCAAAAACGGACTATTACTATGCTTAATGATTCCTGCGGCCATCATTTCCCTCACGATTCTTTCGATCTCATTTTTCTGTGAATGTGGGAAACGGTAGGGCCTCAAATTGGGAGGATCCGTCCCTTCCTTAAGTGGAATTGCATGATCATGAAATCGCGAAGGAGGAAGGCCTGCGGGAGGTTCAAACACCGAGTTAAACTCAGTGAGCAACCCCTCTAAGGCATCATCTTCTACGACACCAACAGATTGGTCTAACAATGTCACCTGTCCAAATTCCACCAAAAATCTCTGTCCCTCCTCCTGAATAGCTTTAAGCATGGCCTTTAGAGACACTAAAGTTTTGAACAAAGAAGGGTCGCCCTGAAGCAACACCCGCTTGCACTGCCAATCGAATTGCATGGTTAGTTTCTTCCAATTGGCACTAACCTCTCCTAACATGCCTAGCCAAGTAATGCATAGAATTACATCGGCACTACCAAGTTCAATCGAAAAAAAATCTTGAATTATGTGCAACCCCTGTAAACTAACCTCCACCTGCCGGCAAACCACCTGACCGGCCACTTTGTAACCATTTCCCACCATAATTCTGAAACTAGGTGTCCCATCTATTGGCAGTTTAAGTTCTTCCACCATTCCCCGAGAAATGAAATTATGAGAAGCTCCAGAATCAATTAAAATCACTACCTCTTTGTTCAAAATCGTACCTTTCACCTTCATGGTGTTAATAGATGGAATTCCCACAATTGAATTCATAGACAGCTCCAAGGAACCCTCTTCTTGCGTCCGTGGTGTGCTGGTATCTTCGGCTGCCACTTCTTCTTCTTCTTCGTCTTCTGCAGCAATAAGAACCTAGAGTTGGGGGTTCTGGTAAACATGGCCGAATCGCCACCTTTCTTCACACCGGAAGCATAATACCCTCTCTCGCCTTCGCTGCATCTCAGCATCGGAAATCCTCCTCTTGAAATTCTCATTTCTTCTAGCCGGTTGCGAAGGAACACGAAGATGCTCCTTGTTGACAGACATGTTAGACTGAAATGAATTACTGCGGGTCACCGTTGCTCCACCTCCCTCAATCGGTTTGGTTGGTAACTCACTAGCTCCACTGACCGGAAAGGTTCGACCGGTCACCGCACCTCTTAAACCGCCATAGTCTCCTGAAAAAGAAAATCCACGACCTTCTAAGACCCTATTACTATCTTTACCCAAATTGGGCCTGTAGGTCCGTTTCATGTAGGCCCGTTCTAGGGCCCAATTTTTTTCCTCAATATTTTGGGCCAAGTCCATCAGCTGGATCAGAGAAACCGGCTTCACCATCCGCACCTCCGCTCTGATTTCTTCGGCCAAACCGTTCGAGAAAGCTCCCACCAGAAACTCCTCATCGGCTTCTCTCAACGGAGACGAGAGTAGCTCGAATTTCTCCCATAAATCAGCCACCGTCGATTCCTGTCGTAAGGCGATCAAGGATTCGTAATGGTTGCCCGTTTGCGATGACCTAAACCGTTGAATCACCAATTCCTTGAATCTCAGCCACGAAATGTGACCAGACCTGGATTCCAACCACTGGAACTAGTTCAACGCCTTCCCTTCGAGGCCGATCACTGCCGCCGCCACTCGTTCCACCTCCTCCACGCCCTGGACCTGAAAGTACCGTTCCAGACGGAACAACCAACCGAGCGGATCCTCGCCATTGAAAAGAGGAATTTCCATTCGGCGAAACCTAGATTCCCCGCCGATCGGTGCCGAACCTTGATCGGGATGGACTGCCGCCGCCGTCGCACCGCCGCCGCCGTCGCACCGCCGCCTTCCACCTCGTTCGAGGCAAAAGCCCCCGCATGCTCCGCCGAGGAATTTACGCCGTTCCCTGACCTCATCCAATCGGTAATTTCCTTCATATAATCCTTCACAGCTCCCATGTCTACCGAAAGCTGTCCAACAGCTCCCTTAAGCTCTCCGATGTCCTTCTCCACCATCTCCACTCTACCTTCCATTTTCTCAGCTCTGGAAGCAACCATTCCCAATCGGAACAACTTTGATACCAATTTGATGGAAACCTCTTGATTAACGAAGAACGGATTACACACTCAGGTGATTATTCGAGAGAATCACCGTCTCTCCTCTCAAATTCTACACAGTCCAGAGATATCGAATCCTTAGGCCCCCTGCTTATTTATATACTCTAAGAACAAACCACAACTCTAACTAAATTCAGTTATTACATGGACACCAAACTTCCTTGACAAGACTCTCAAACAACCAAGTCTACTTATTCCCGTCCACGTCAGCTCCCCTAACTAACTAACAACTAATGTTTCGATCTCCTACTGTACACTAGCAATTCCCGGTTTCTATCAAAAGCATATCCACGACCCATGTTAGTCGTGTTGCTTGCTTGTTGAATACGTTACTTGAGTCCCAAGAAATGGGGTTAGGATTTCTTCTTGGTCACAGCATGCCTCTTGTGACGAAACTTTTCATTTATAGGCTTATGAGGCTAACTAGATAAGAATGCATCTCATGAGATCATGTATATCTAATCCAATCCATGTTTGAATGGCATATATGATTTTTGACTGTATTTATCTTTGGTTATTCATTTCATAACAACTTTATTCTTAACTCTCAAAGGATACCGAGTATCCACTAACGCCATGGCAGAGACAAATTAGTTTTAGACTGAAAAATGTCTGTTTTTTACGGAGGTGTTATATAGAGTGTTATAACACTTTCTGTAATATTAATGTTTTGTTGAGTGTTTCGGATTCAGGAACCAGTAAATAATTGTACAGAGAATAATAGTGGAGAAATATAAAAGACACACAAGAATTGATATCGCAGTTCGATGCGCACACCTACATTTGTGGGTCCACGCCCAGACAGTAAATAATCCACTAAGATTGAAAGATTACAAAACACCAAACCAGTTTTACACACTTAAGAACTCCCTTCTTGATGTTGTCATTGCTGTGGAGTATCCTCTTAGTGGCATTGTCTAGCGAGCACCACTCGTCTTTAGAAACTCTCCCGAAAGCAATACGTCATCCTCCCAAAGAACAACTTTTTCTATTTTTCACTCCAAGAACATCAAGGTAGCTCTTTCTGCAGAATATTTTTACACTTAAAGCTCACTCTCACAGACTTTTTCTGTAAAATATATCTCTAAAAACCATGCCCCAAAATATGGCCTTGAATTGGTTTTAAAACCATAAAACACAAAAGCTCATTTTTTTTTTCTCTTTTCCCAGGCACACACTTCACGTACACACATGCTACATATATATCAATCACGCACCAATCCAGATTTGCACTTATTTTGCAAAACACATACAGCATATACTACTTTGGCACCAAGATCAATATTGTTTACACTCCAAATCAAATATATCCAAGATATCTCTTCAAATATCTTCAAATCAATTATGCAGCAAATCACTTTTCCATATGAGCACATTTTCTCCAATAAATCTGTAAATCTCCTAATTTGAATATGTCAATTAAATCTTTCAAATCTTCTCTGAAATTTCCTTCCAAATGTTAATTTTCATCAACAAAAACATTCCATATTCGGACCAATTAGCAACTAAAATCACCTCTAATCTTCTTCATAAACGCCAGTTGCCAAAAGTACTTGTTTTTAAATTTTTACAACGAATGCCAACAAATTGCCAACTAAAATCCTAACAATCTCTCCCTTTGGCATTTTTTAGAAAAACTAACACATTGTTCCTATTAACAATAAAAATTTAAAAAACTAGAAAATTTAGAAAAATACATTGTTCTCCCCCTTTTTAACAAAAATAATACTAATATAAAAATCTTCTAGAAGTTGCTGTCGCAGAAAGTGTTGGAACACTTGATGGAACGCTTTTCTGTAGATCATTTTTCAAGATCATTGATCTCTACAAATCACTCCCCATGAATTCTCTACGAGTCTTACTCCCTCTAAATATAATACTCTCTGAATCTTGCTCTTATCACCTATCAAATGCTTGGACCAGCCACCATTACTACGTCCACAATCATTAGTACATGCTTCTAAAGAAGTATAAACTCTATGATACCTCAACTCAGATTTTCTTACCCACACCCATCTAGGAAACTTGTCTTGCACATCAATCTTCATTTTAGGTGTCATTTTTACTTAATTCGGTGGATTAGAAAGCATACCTCTCTTCAAAGCATTCAAATACTTATAGCATCTTAGTCTTATATGACCAAGTAAACCACAATAATGGCATATGGGGACAAACCTTTTATGTCGAGGGGGTGAGATGATTACCTTTTTACTGAGGGTAGTCCGAGGTTCAGGAGCGAGTGTCTTCTTTACAAACACTGTCTTGGACATTGAGCTTTCACTAGTGTAACCAAGTCCATGACGATCACAACTTGTTTTTCATATAGAGAGAATATGATCCAATTTGGTGGTGCCAGAATTCATCATCTTCAATGACTTTTGAGTGCGCTCCAATTCTACCCTTATGTTCTACAGCTTTTTCTCCTTTTCAACAGCCTAAAACTCATAGTTCACAGCAGCCCTCTTAAGCACATCATTCTCTTTAACAAGCTCATTAACTCGCTCCCATAAAGACTTATTTATTTCACACACTTTAACCCACTTATTGAATATGGTCAGGTAGGATTCTTGGATGGCTTCATAAGTCAGGTCTTCACCGTCACTGCTACTGTCAGAATCTGAATTAACTCCATCTTCTTTATTGTTCACGAAATCTGTTACAGGAAGTGTTGCAACACTGTCGACAAAAACACCCTGATCAATATAAACATTGAAGACAACGAAATTACTCAGATGATCATCATCATACTCCTGATTGTCTTCAGATTCTTCATCATTCCAGGTAGCATTGAGTGATTTCTTCTTCTTGAGAGTGTTAGCACACTCAAATTGAATGTGATTGTAACCATCACACTCTCGGCATTGAATTCCTATGTTTCTTGTCTTTGATTTTATGTTATTCGTTGCAGCTTTATTCCTTTAGAAATGTTTTGAGTTTCCAAAGTTTGGTGTATGGTTCTTCTTGTTGAACTTCTTCGTCACCTTGTTGAAATTCTCGTGCTATGGACTCGGTTAAGTCTTTTTCATCATCGGACTCAACTTCTTCAACTACGGCTTGAAAAGCAATGTTTTTCTCCTTCTCCTTTTTGTTTTCATTCAGGTTCATCTCGAAAGTATGCAAATAGCCCATTAATTCGTCTAGCCTCATTAACTCCACATTTTTGGCCTCCTCAATAGCAGTTACTTTGTATGCAAATCTTTTTGGTAACGATCTCAGGGCTTTCCTCACCAGTTTTGCCTCTGAGTATTTTTCACCAAGAGCAAATGCCTCATTAGCAATGTCACACAATTTTGAATTGAAATCAGAAATTGTTTCATCTTCAAGCATGCGTAAGTTTTTAAACCTGGTGGTATGGATTTACAGTTTTGATAGTATGACTGCAGCAGTTCCCTCATGCGCCGTTTGTAAGATCTCCCAAGCATCATTGGCGGATTCACAGGTTGAAATAAGCTTGAACTAATTGGCATCAACTCCATTGCAAATGGCATTCAGTGCTCTTTAGTTGTTATTTGCCAATCAATCTTCTTCAGTAGACCATTTCTCTTCGGGTTTCATAACTTCTTCTCCAGCCTCATTTTTTATAACAGGGTGCGTCCAATCAGTCAACACAACACGTCACGCCTTCTCATCAATTACTTTGATGAACGCCTTCATACGAGCTTTCCAATAAGAATAATTGGAACCATCAAGCAGAGGAGGGCGCATACCTACATCTGTGGGGCCACGCCCAAACAGTAAACAATCCATTAAAATTGAAAGATTACAAAACACCAAATCGGTCTTACGCACTCAAGAACTCCCTTCTTGATGTTGTCGCCGCTGTGGAGTATCCTCTTAGTGGCCTTATCTAGCAAGCACTACTTGTCTTTGAAACTTTCTCCGGAAAGCAATACGTCATCCTCCCGAAAAATCACTTTTTTCTATTTTTCACTCCAAGAACATCAAGGTAGCTCTTTCTGCAAAATATTTTCACATTCAAAGCTCACTCTCACAGACTTTTTTTGAAAAATATATCTCTAAAAACCACGCCCAAAACATGACCTTAAATTGCTTTTAAAACCATAAAACACAAAAGCTCATTTTTTTTTTTCTTTTTTCCCAAGCACACACTTCATGTACACACATGCTACATATATATCAATCATGCACCAATCCGGATTTACACTTATTTTACAAAACACATACAGCATATACTACTTTGGCACCAAGATCAATACCATTTACACTCCAAATCAAATATATCCAAGATGTCTTTTCAAATCTCTTCAAATCAATTATGCATCAAATCACTTTTCCATATGAGCACATTTTCTCCAATAAATCTGCAAATCTCCTAATGTGAATATGTCAATCAAATCTTCTAAATCTTCTCTGAAATTTCCTTCTAAATATTGATTTCTATCAACAAAAATATTCCATATTCAGAGCAATTAGCAACCAAAATCACCTCTAATTTTCTCTATAAACGCCAGTTACCAAAAGTACTTGTTTTTAAATTTTTACAACCAATGCCAACAAATTACCAACTAAAATCCTAACAAGTTTTAGGCGAAAAAATGTGGAATAGGATTACCCTATAAACTCTTTTCTTCTTGGTTTTTATAAGTGAAGAAGGAATAAGAAGTTCAAATTTTATAATGCTTTGGGAGAGCGTTTGGTTGGGTGGAAAGGAAAGAAATATAATGGAATAGAATTCAAGTTTTATGTTTGGTTGGATTTATAAGAAAGGAATAGTTATTCGAAAAATATGGCCATTCACCCATTTTGGGTGAATCATCATTCCTTTCTCACAAGAGAGAAATAACCATTCCAAGTTATTTTCTTTGTTTTTTTTCATAATTACCCTTCAATATTATAATATAATTAAAATATATTATATAGTAGTTATATCTTATAATATGTAATATAATATAATATACAACAAAAATATTATAATATAATATAGGTATAATAATATAATAATTAATTTATAATATAGTTATAAATTATAATATATTTATTTAATATTCTATAATAATATATATAATATATTACAATGCAATTATATCTTATAATATAATACATATAATAATATTACAATATTATATATATAATAGTAATATTTTAACAAATAATATCATAATTATACTTGTAATTCTAATATTATTATATTATATTAAAATAATATTATAATATTAGTATTAATATAATAATAATTA